TTTTCACCCAACATTTACGTATACTTGCACATTTTATATTAATTTTTAGGATTTTTAGAATAAATAGTGTTTAATAATAATCTATTCCAGGTCTATTCTTAAGTTCCCATATAAAATAAAAAGAATTTATTTACAGAATGATGTAAGAACTAGGTGATTAATTATAGCATCCAATTTTATTTTTGATATCACTGAACTCTCCTGTTTCGTTAGAACAATAATGTTTACCTAATGTCATCCATACATATCTATAATGCTTAGTTTTATCATAATGATACACTCGTTTTATCATTTATTAACTAATGACCAAAAGACGTGCAAGAAAGTTAATTTAGGTCATATAAACTGTATTAATGGCCACACATATAGTTTATTAATTAACATAGGAAGTACCGTGAACGTGGGTTATTCTGCGTGAGCTGTAATTCCGCGGACTTGTCTTTAAAATACCAAATTGGTATACCAAATATTTTAACTGTTTGACAGGACACAGAAAATGCACAGACTCTAGATTTGAGATTTAGATGTGTCGCCCTCGCATTTTTTATTTAGTTTAAAATCGATTTTATATCACACACGAAGATTTAAACAAAAGGCAACACTGCATGCACGAAGGTGCTTTGTGAGTCAGTCGATCTAAATGACGTACGTTCTCCCTCCTCTTGGGGAGGGGAAGAATATTGACTAAGTGAAATGCAAATAACTTTTTCAACAATACTCGTCAGCAATCCATCGTCATCAATATTATCTTTTCAATCCCAGTATGTCAATTTATTGTCAATATATTGATCTGTGTAACGAGCGCTCAAGCGTGTTATCATTCATGTTGTCAATATTTATGTATTGATAATATTGTAAGGAAAATTGACAATACGATGTTTGTCAATAAATTGATACATGTAATGGGCGCTTAAAACCATCGTGGTTTATGTTATCTGGATCAAAAAATCTGGAGAAAACACTGTCTCTTTCTTCCTCATCAGTTCCTACGCGAGAAGTGTAAGTGACGTCAACAATGTGGTTACGTATGAATGATAAGGAGCGAAAAAGAAGCGCGATTTCACATGCCGGACCTTTATAGATTGAAGGTCATCTTCGATAGGCCGAAGTTGCATCCATTTATAGACCCAATTTGATTGAGTACAGTAGACACGTACTTGGAGAGTTTTAAAATACTGAGTTTTACAATTTTCGGTCGTGCCTAATTAATATCCAAATAATAAGAATATCTAAGCTTGCATGCTGACAGTGAAATATCTTTTGCAGCTCAATTATTAAATAAGATATGACATAAAATGTAATTGAAGGCTTCATATTAGACCGAGGTTAGGGACATGTCCGTTTACCACTTGCAAACTTCTTCAGTGTCTATTCATAGACTTGACTATGATTAGACACTGAAGAAGATTACAAGTAGCAAACGAAATACGTATCTGTCATAGTTTAGTTCTTAAAATCATAGTGAAAGTGAATACCCTGCCCATGGACATGGAGATTGACGGTACTGAAGCAAAGGGTTATATTTAATATCTTTATATTTGCAACGATGATGATTAAAGTGATAGTGAAAGTGAATAATGAATTACTGAAAGTGATACAATTGTAGTAGAATTAAAAGGAAAAACAACGTTATCAGGTAGGGGAATTTACGTATTCTCGTCAATCTAAGCAGCGTCTGCACTTCTACTAGCATTTTCTCAGCGTCACGCACATATATGATGTGTCTGTTTGTTTACATTCATCTGCTGCTTGCTTCTCTATCCATTCCAATCGACAGAATTTTTCAAAACGTTTTGAAAGCGTTTTTACAACGCTCCAAACTTCTCAGGTGAGTGTGACTATTGTCGGCAGTCTCTTTTTCTTCGGTAACCTTCCCATTAGAACTGCGTGTTAACCAGCTGTTCTATTATCGGCAACTCGAAATCAACCTCATTTTGTAGTGCGTATGCTTTATTTGAAGAAAAATGTAGCATTACTGGATTGCTCGATCGTTCAAATATAATCAGATTGAAGCTGAAAGGCTAAACAATCGTTTGGACACATTCAGGGAAGTGCGTTGATGGGAAAACATAGTGAAATTAACGTTTAAATTTTGGTTGCCCGAAAACAGTCAATGGGTGCCGAAGCCAACATTTACCCTATATAAGGTTAATTGTATTTTAACAGTAATCATCATCCATATGATAAACATATATCAGTTACACAGCAAAAAAATAATTTTGATATCACGTCAAAGTGGATGCACTACAATCATGTCGAAAATATGGTGTAATATTACTTGCTAAAAAGGACAAAATTATCATTAATACAATGCATGAACTGACATTACGCTGCTTTTACTGCATTTGTTTATTTATGTGGTCATAAAAATTACATGAAATTTTCGACATGATTGTAGTGCATCCACTTTGATGTGATATCAAAATTATTTTTTTGCTGTGTAGGTCAGTTTGTTAGTCAACTGGAAGTGATCTTTAACTATGGAGTGATTGTATATCAAATACAAAAGGTAAATGTAACCGAATTAGACTGAGTTTTAAAGAGAGATTCATGATTTTTTTAGAAATCTTGAAAGCTCTAAGAAATGTTTGAACACTTCGCAGATTATGATTTTTTTTAGAGAGATGTGTGATTTTTAAAAATTACGTGGAGGAAAGAACAGAATAGGAGATTTTTTCAACAATATGGGGCTAAAAAATACCCAAATCGTGGATTTTTAAAAATTTTCAAGATCCTAGATTTGAATAAAAAAAAAACATTATTACGGGCCCTGCAATATATTAAATGTTCTTACAATTTAAGGAATTTTCTATACAAATCTGACGAGAATACCGAGAATTTTAAATAGAATTCAAGGAGAAGTGAAGAAATTTTAAAGTATTCCAACCAGAATTTCATGATAATTCTACGATAAAGTCCTACAGAATTCGGATATAAACTCCAAGGTATTTCTTGGGCGAAGAAAATAATTCCATAGGAATTGAAAGGAGAACTTCAAGCTGAACATTCCCAGAGTTCTGATGAGACATCAAAGAGAATTACAAACAGAATTTAAAGAGAACTCAGAAGGCAATTTCAAAAGAATATTAAGGAAGCTTCATTACAGAATTTATTATTATTAATTAAAAGGAAAGTTTCAAGAAGTGAATTCAAAGGATTTGTGATGAACATTCTATGGAATTTCTGATTAGAGGTTCGAAGGGTTTCACGAAGTTTTTTGACTTAAGTTCAAAAAAAAATTAAAAAAAAAAAAATTCAAAGGAATCTAGTTTTCAGTATAGTTTCAAAGGATTCCGAGGTAATTACGAGGAGAGTTTACAGGTAGTTTTATGAAGAATTCCATGATAATTATAAGCAGAAATCTTATCCGAAGATTTTTTTTTGAATATTTGTTTCTGTAGTAATTGTATAATTACAGGGTTGATATAACGTTGAAAAGGAAATAGGATTAAGTACATGTTTTAGAAAAAGTGAAATTTTTGTATCATAAATCATACTTCAAATCTCCTTTTCCCTCTTCACATTCACAAAATTGTCATCCACTAAACTCGAGAAGACTGCGAGTATTCGGTTGATTTCCTTATACCGGAAATGATAATTTGGCTCTGTAAAGTTTATTCGATTGAGCCTGAAGTCAAATGTTATTTTTTGTTTAAAACTATAGAAATTCCTATAGCAAGATTCATATGGTTAAGTTTCAGAAAAGCAAGTTTTCTTTTGATAGAAACTCGCTCTTTTCCACTAGTTAATTCTAGCCCTGGCGTAAAAAAAAAATACCGTATGTTAAGCATTATTGTTTTTTTCCCGGTGCTCCCGTAGAATTCCCCGGTTTATTCCGGTTACATTTGAAATTCCCGGTTCGCTGAGCCAACCTGTAAATTATCCGTTAAAGCTCTGGAAAAACCAGGAAACGATAGGGAATTTCATTTAGCCAAATGAGTAGACACTAGACTGATGCAAAATTTGAAATTTCCGCCCCACAGTGTTCAAACGGTTCCTATTTGGTTCCTGATTAGCCTTCCAAAATTTGAACTCATTTAGTAAGAAACTGACTTGGCACAAACCATTTGAAGTTTATATGGAAATTACTATGGGAAAACGAAATTTTGTGTTCATATCTATCTAATAATTCCCGCTATTACTCAGCTCTAAAAATAATATCTGCACTTGTAGTAAATTTTCACATTTTTCGATAAAATGTAAGCATCAAAAGTTATTAATGATTCAAGTCACTATTGTCTTATGATTATGCTCAATCAACTGCTCAGCAGGCAACATTGGTGTTTCTGGCGCGTAGAATAGAGCTAAAACATCATGGCTACTATTTCACACTGCAGAATACAGTGTTGCCCAAAAAACAGTTGCTTGATAATGCCATATAAGATTCTCAATCTCTTAAACAATTAATAATTATTTAATTTGATGTTTGGCTGAAAAACAATATTCAGCAAAGTTGTAGCTGAGCAAATTTTCCATAAGAATAACTATAGAAATTTTTAACGGTGCAATATAAAAGAAGAATAGAAGACAACGAAGAAAAAATTTGGTTTCCCCATAGTAATTCCCATATAAACTTCAAATGGTTTGTGCCCAGTCAGTTTCTTACCATATCAGTTCAAACCTTGGGAGGCTAATCTAGACCCGATTTGGAACCGCTTGAGCACTGCGGAGCGAAAAAGTGACCCATTACCAGCCATGATATCTTATGTTCGCCGCTGCTCAAGAATAATATTTTGGCAACGTTTTCGCTTATGAAGGATGCAATCGCACGATGACTAAGACCAGGCCGATTCCGATCAAATGATTTATGAAATCTATGAGTCAGTGACATTCCACCAAGTTTTTGGGGAGCTATTTTCATCAAATTGCAGCAGAGAAGCCTTCAACTTGAGTAGTTTTTAATTCATCAATTGAGGTGATGCCCATGTTTTGGCAAATTGAAGAGGATAACGAGACAACCAAAAGAAGGATTGTTGAAACTAAGTTAAAGCTGTACTCACTCGATAAAATACACCTCGCCACTGTCGGTGTACGCTTTTTCCCATTTGGGCGGCAACGGGCCCAATCCATCATCTTCCTCCGTCTGCGCCGTCGAGGAAATATCCGACTTTTGATCGTAGAACCCACCACCATTGCTCATTCCGATGGGAGCTTGTTGTTGTTGCTGCTGCTGCTGTTGGTGATGGTTCTGATGATTATGGCTGTGAAGATGATGGTGATGATGATGATGATGCTGAAGCATTGGCGGCCCATTGTTCATAGGAGGCCCGGGGGGACTCATCATCATCATCGTTGTCGCTGTCGTCACGTCTGATCCCATCGTATCGGAACCGTTATCACTTGCCCTTCCGGGACCACCACTTCCACCACCGTTCATGCTGTTGTTGTTGTTGTTGATATTATGGTTGCTGTTTACGCCCACTTTCGACAAATCTTTACCGGTTTCGGATTTCGCACTGATCGTAGTAGTACCACCAGCAGCACCAGTAGGTCCAGTACCACCACCACCAGTTGCCACTACTGACTCATTCATCTTCAACTTTTTAATTTCACTTTTCTCTGTCATTGAATGCTGCCTTCAACAACAGCTTTTTCCACTCACTCACAGCCGTCACCACCTCAACTTGTTTGGTCACTTCTTCTCGGACACCACCATCGCCGTTTTCGTCGCTTTCCGAAGAAGCTTGTGTTGGTATGTGTATACGTTAAAAAAAAACCTTGTATCAATGACACAGATGCCTTCCCTACCACACACAAAATCGAAATTCTTTTCGTAAACTAAAAACAACAAAACACAACATTTAAATGCACTTTCGTGTGTAAGCTCGAACCGACCGTTGGTTGGGGTATATTTTTAGCTACATTACTTCTTTTATGCGCTTTTTGATCACCTTTCCATATTATCTTCTTCCCATCATGCGCTTCTTTTTCTTCTACTTTTTTTGCTTCTTCTCAAGTTGTTTGTCGTGGCACTTGACTCTTCTCACTCCGGCAGGGACTGGAGCAGGTTCTTCGACCGCTTTATTTCTGTGGCATTTTTCTCTTATTTTTCATTCGTGCTCTTGTTGCGAATCACCTGTCGTCAGCAGAGCACATATACACATTTTCTACCTTGCCTTGCGCGCCTTCACCTGGCCTTCTTCAGGGCTTTCACATTTTCGCACTCGCGCGCGCTCAACTATAGAGCTTCTGGATTCTGGCTCGCATATGTACAACACACGATCTACAGAGATATTATCAATCTGCTCACATTCATGGCTGTTTTCTAGATTTACGAGATCGAACCGAAATCGATGCAAGAAGAGGACGTTTCACTTCACGCGAATCTCACTACACTAGGTATGTACACATTAGTACACCACCGGGGCATGAATCATTCATTTCAACATTCCACAAAGCCAAACCGTGCTCCACTCTCTTGACACCTTCTCCAGCTCCAGCTCCAGTCGTCGTCGTCGATTCACCCAATCCTACTGCTATTTTTTTTAAAGGCCTCACACGCTCACATGTCGTTACCCAACGTCGACCAATTGTTAAAACTTTTATTATTCCACCTTGAAAACGCCGAGAAATCCAAAACCGTCTTAGATCGTTCGTTTAGCCTGTTTTTGGTGCTGCGGGCGAGAAAATAAAAACACAATAATTAGAGATCAACTTTATTTTCTTATAGCTACACACGCACACCTCTCGAGCGTGGTTTATGGTTTATTTCAAGTAACAGAATTGGACAAATAATTTTCGAAAATTGCTCCCAACCACCGTCGCCGTCGTCACCGTTGCGCAGTACTTGCCCGCAACCGAGATAAATTCATAATAACTGCTGCTACACAACACGCCACGCTAACTACTATTCACTGACTGCTAACTATAAGCTGAAACTTCGCTGGTGGTTGTTTGGTAAGTATGGGGCAACGGAATTGAACGATCCTCTACCTACTACACAACACACTAAATGAGACTGGATGGGGACTGAGAGCTGAAGCGCTAAAGATACCAACGCAAGACACACTCGACGAGGTTCGTTGTCGTCGTCGTCGTCGTCGTTGTTGTTGCAAAGAGAGCTAGCAGGAAGAGGTTCCCATTGAACTTTCCTTTCATTCATAAGCCCTCTCTGCTATAGCTTCCTCCGTCTGATCAGGTAGGTAGGTTGGCATGTATAGGAACAATATACACGCAGCAGCAGCAGCAGCAGAATAGCCGCCATTCCAACGGGCCTGGGAATTGTTGTGGCGTTCGTCATCGTTCGTTGCGGTCGTGAATGCATAACTTAACTCCGCTGCCTTTTATAAGAGTGATTTAAGATGTTATACTGCAACTTGGTGCTTCGCATGCTTAAGATATCGTCACACAGAAAAGAGATTGCAATGATAGTGCAGGCTTCCTCAACAATTACAATCACCGTCGGTTGTGGTTTAGTATAGGCCTACACTGCCGGTGGAAGCATAATTGTCCCATGCACTGTGGAGTTTCATATACACATGGGGCAATTATGCTGCCAGCGGCAGAACAATCTGGGCTAGGTTACTTCAGAACTAGGGCAATCCACCTATTTGTGGAAATTCGGTTAGCTGGTTCTGGAGCTATGGTCGGAATATGTTCTGGTCAATACAGCCCCCTAACATCTTGGCAGCTCCCATACATGTGGAGTGTAGCTGAAAATTCGTGGTTCCCAGGAGGACGGCACATCCTTCATCATCATCTCACATCCATTCTATTGTCAAATCCGCATTCTCATCCACAGCAACGAAGAAAACTTTCAGAAAATCTCTTTCTATTTCAGACATCCCTTTTCTATGTTGTATGGAAGAAAATAAATCTTGAAAAAAATTCAAATACCTATACCAAATGCAATAATGGTACAGTCCTCGAAAGCTCTCAATTAATAAAGGCTCACTAAAAGTAAATTGGTACGCACAAAAAGACCTGTAATTCATGATTCAATAAGTTTAAAAAGTCCATTAATGGTTGCTTTACCGTACTTTTATTAAAACTTCAAAGTTACAGCATGAGATGGTTACATTTCTCCAGTTCAAACGAAATCTCGAACCTTCCTCTTGATGGAGCCCATCAGCGCCCGCACAGTGGAAACAGACACGGAATCAGCGCATTTCATCCATTTTGCCCGCATTTGCTGGATGTCCTTGACATCCTCGCCGCTTCGTTGAAGTCGCTGCTTTGAAATTGTCCAGTATTTTTCGATTGGTCGAAATTCCGGGCAATTCCGAGGATTCATTAGCTTGAGGACAAATTCGATCTTGTTGGCAGCATACCACTCCAGAACCGCCTTGGAGCAGTGGCAGCTGACCAAAACGAGCCAAAAGATGACTGCTTGATATGCTTGCGGATGAACGGCAATACACGCTTTTGCAGGCATTCTTCGATGTAAACTTGGGATGTCATCGTCGAGGATGTGACGAATGGTTCCGTTTTCAGGCCACAGTCGCGAGTTTGACGTATGTTTCGTCATCGATCAAAGTGCAGCCCTTGTGTTTCGTCAAAACACGGTCGTACAAGAGCCTTGCATGCTTTTGGCCACGAGATTCTGTTTCATGTGCCGGTTCGGATGTTCGGCTTTGTACGACTTGTATCCTTCCCTGGCAAGGATGTTCCGCACCGTTTGAAAGTTGGCGTTGTACCTTTTGGCCACATCTCGGATCGAAACACCGGGTTTGGCTTTAACGTACCTCAACACCTTACTGCGCAACTGACGATCACTGGTTCCAGTTTTTCGTAGGTCCGCTGATACCTGTACACTCAGGGTTTCCTTGTAGGTTTTGAGCTCTAGACAAACTGTTGTTTTCGGCATCTTCAGCACTTTAGCCAGCTTGGAACCGGACCACTCCGGATTTTCCAGGTGTTGGTGCACAATATTTTTCTTCTTTCGAGTTCCATTTGACGTTATTTTTGAACGCGATCGGCTGCTTTGATCAAACTTGCACCAGTTGTTCTCTATTGAAGTGTAAACAAACCACTTTCAAATATTTTCGATTCCCAACACTAGAGGCATAGAGGTAACTCTAACACCAGAAGGTCCCGAAGAAACGTGCTCAACTTTTTGGCTCAGCTCTGGTACTCTCTTCGGTCCCAAGCTAATCGATGCACCCCTCGAAAAATAGGAAAATCCACGAACCCCTAAATTTATCTGTCAAACTTTCAAAGCGAATCAAAACAAACATAGTGTAGTACTAGAATTTTGTCTAGAATGGAGTACGTTAATCTATTTGCTTGGGACCAATAGGCTAGTCAAGTAGTGAGTCGATTTCAAAATGATAGTTTCGTATTGATTGTTGCTAGAGGCTTGCTAGCGGCGTACCAATTTACTTTTAGTCAGCCTTTAAGTGCGGAATCAAGGTGGAAGCAACAATCAATACGAAACTAACGATTTTAAATTAGCTCACTCCTTGACTAGCCTATTGGTCCCAAGCAAACGATTAACGTACCCCATTCTAGTCGAAATTCTAGTACTACGCAATGTTTGTTTTGATTTGCTATGAAAGTTTGACAGAGAAAATGAGAGGTTATTGGTTTTTCGTATGTTTCGAGGGGTGAATCGATTAGCTTGGGACCGAAGAGAGTACCAGAGCTGAGCCAAAAAGTTGAGCACGGACCTTCTAGTCTTAGAGTTACCTCTATGGTGGAAGTGCATCTAGAACACTAAGTTGAGAGCATGCAATAAAATAATGGGCGATCAGCAATAAGTTTGAAATGCGAAGAAGAAGAGGACTTTAGTGATATCTCATCAAAAATCCATGAAAATCAACAAAGTAATCTAACATTCCACGATGCTTCCTGAACTTCTACGAAGATTCCCGTACATTCAAGAAGTTTCTTGATCTTAAACTTAGTTCCATGAACTCAAAACATCTATGAAGTTCCTTGAACTGCTACGAAGTTCCCAACCCCGTCTTCTACGAAGTTCTCAACCCCGTCAACTTCTACGAAGTTCCCAGTGCTTCAAAGATTTTTCAATATATTACAACTTTTAATTTTTCGATAGCTACAACTGCATTTCTGCCAAGCTTGCTGAATTTGTACGAATTTCCTATTATTCATAAAAAATGTATTAACTTCTTTAGATCCATAATTCAAACTTCCGGAAAGAACCTGATCTTTTTCTAGAAATTTTCCTGAACAAATTGGCGAAACGAAGCTCTCACAGTTCCCTAAACTGATACGAAGATCCTTAAAGTTCTAAAAAGTTTGATTAATTTCTATGTTATTTCCTGAGCTTCTAGGAAATTTTCTGAACTTCTACAAAGTTTGCCGAACTTCTACAAATTTAACCAAACTTCTACAAAGTTTGCCGACATTTTTCGAAGTTCCTTGATCTTTAACAAAATTCCCTTCTACAAAGTCAACGTTACTTTTAGGAATTGCGATTATTTTCTACGAAGCTTCCTAAACTTCTACGGAATTCTTTAAACCAACAAAAATCATTAACGAAGTGTCCTGTAATTAAGAGGAGGTCCTGGAACACTTTTATGAAGTTTCCTGAAATGAAACAAAATTTTCTAAAATTCAACAAAGTTCCCTAAACAAAAGTACCCACTTTTATAGAGTTTTCCTAAAATTTAACAATGCTGTCTAAGTTTCAACGACATTCTAGGAAGCTCTATGAAGTTCTCCGAATTTCTCTTAAATTTCCTGAACGACTCAGCTGTCTCCTGAACGTCGATAAAGTTGCTGACATTTTACAAACTTCGATGGAATTGAAGAAAAATTCCTAAACTTCAATGAAGTTCCACGAGTTTCATCAAGATCCTTGAAATTTCTCTAAAGTTCGCTTAATTCCTATCAAATTCAACAAACTTTTTTTCCTTGATTTGTTTTCCGTACTGAATACCAATGCTACCAATGCCAGGAAGGCAGCTCCCACACCTGGACCCTACCTATTGATCCATCAACTCATGGACCGGGGACCAACGGCTTTACTAGGCGTGATCAGAAATGTTATGCTTCAGAAAATCCCGACGGCACCGACTGGGATTGAACCCAGGCCCTTTGGAGTGAGAGTCAGTCACGTTCAACAAACAGTTCTACCATAGAGGTAACTCTAAGACCTGAAGGTCCCGAAGAAACGTGCTCAACTTTTTGGCTCAGCTCTGGTACTATCTTCGATCCCAAGCTAATCGATTAACCCCTCGAAACATAGGAAAAACCAATAACCCCTCATTTTATCTGTCAAACTTTCATAGCGAATCAAAACAAACATTGCGTAGTACTAGAATGGAGTACGTTAATCGTTTGCTTGGGACCAATAGGCTAGTCAAGTAGTGAGCCAATTTAAAATAGTTAGTTTCGTATTGATTGTTGGTTCTACGAAGTTCACTGAGGTTGTACAAAGTTCACTGAGCTTCCTCGAAGTTAACTGAACTCCTAATGGTAGCACTTAAAAAAAAATAATAATTTCAACGTAGTTCCCTAAACTTCCACGAAGTTGTCTAATGTTCTAAAAAGTATCCTGCAGATCTATGAAGTTCCTTGAAGTTCTATAACAGTTCCTGAACTTTTACGAAGTTTCCCGAAATTCTATGAAGTTCTCTGAAATCAAACGAATGGCTCTTGACTTGTAACATCATGGTTCCCTGACGTAATGTTACAATAGTCTATAAAG